CCGAGTGAGAGTGGGAGCCCGAGCACAAGGGGGCGGATAGTTTACCGGCTTGCAGCCCGAGGGCCAAGGCATTTTTTTATTGTTTTTTGTGTCAGCCCGAGGCCCTACAGCCCAATTTCCCTGTTTTTTTTATATTTTATATTATTTAAACAAACAAAAAAAAAATTTATTTTATTACCTATTGCCAGGGGGAGAGTTCAAAGGGTAGAGATGCAAAAGGTAATTACTGTTCATTAATGGTAGTTACTATTCATTAAAGGCAGTTACTGTTCAATATGGTGGATTCAATAGTGGATTGCCAGGGGGATGGCTCCAAGGGTGGAGTTGCTCTTATAGTGGGTATTATTTTTGCCAGAGGATACGGGGCCCCGAATAACATATACGCGCTGAGCTAATTCCCTCTATTTTCTATACGAATAACAACTATGTAACCAGGTCGACTCTATAAATCTTAAAACGCTACTGAATCATATTATGTTTGATATATGTCGTCTTGAGTTGCTCTCAGGGCATTCAGATTTTCAGACATCTGCAAAAAATTGTAATAGTAGAACGAAACTATATATTTCATGTTGCATTCTGTCCCGTTTATTTTTTGTTAAGATTTTTCATAATGTTGTTCAACGTAATTTGTTGTAAGAAACTTTTAGTATGACGTGACGTGAATACGTGTTAGTATACTAAGTGTCATAATATAAGTAATCAAAAATATTATTTTCTTCAAATATCTAACCACTTACATTAGCCACTTGATGCAACATAATGCATTATAGCACACCGAAAAATCTTCTTTTGATGTGCTCGCTTGTTTAGGGAAAATGATCTCGCCGGATCCCTTCCACTCTAGCCAACTGCGCAAAATATTTGGACTTTTGAAATTTGATTCAACGGCTAAAAATAAATAGTTCTATTAAAAGTTATAATAACTTTAATCGTTAGATCAAATTTCAAGATCCGAATTTTTTACTCAATTGGCTCAAGTAGATGAGATCCGGAGAGGATCCTTGTTTAGTTCTATCGGAAAGAAAGCCTCTTTGCATAAAAATGACAGTCTAAGATCCATCGTGTCTCGTGGGGCTACCATTTTTCTGAATAATACATAAATATTCGCACAAAAAAAGACAAAAAATATGAAATAAAAAAAGAACTGAAACACTTTTCGGAATAAGACCGTTGCATCCAGCTGTACCAAGCCACGTCAGCACAAGTGGTCTACCCGTGGACCGCAAACTCAGACGAAACGTTAAACCTACCTAAGCCCTCTGATTCGAGAGGCCCAACATCCGTGGTAGCCTAGGCTTTTCTGCATTTAATAGTTACTATGCACCTGCATGTAAATATTAGCCGTCCGATCTCTGACACACCCACACACTCTGCGATCCTCTGGCTTCTGCATTTACAATTTCACCCCCTTCTCTCTCCTTTCTCTGTCTCATCAGCTTCCACAAACCTCAAAAGGAGCTCCTTTTCTCTTTTTTTCGGCCCTCTATTCCCTTCTTTTATTCTTGCTCTTTTGGTTTCTTGGGGATTTATTTAAATTAGAATTTTTTTCTGGGCTCTTTCTTCTGTGGGGGGGTTTCATTTGTATGGTTTTGGAGGGCAGAGAGGAAGGATTCCATGGCTACTCTGCTGTTCTTCTTCCTGTTGGCTGTCTCCGCAGTTTCTGCTGGTGAAGGTAAGCTTTTATGCCTCTCTGTACTTGTGTGTGTGTGTGTATTCCTTGTATGTTTAAGCAACTCTCTAAAATCTTAAGCTTTCATTTCTCAATAATCCCTTTTTTTATGATTAAAATCTAATTTTTGGATGTCTGCATTGTGTTCTACGAGTTCCTATGTGCCAAAGACCCTTCCCTTCTTCTTAAAGTTGCATTCTTTTGGTGTTTTGATGCGTTTCCGATGTGGGTTTTTGCCTCCTTTTTTCTGGGTCTTTTTTAAACATGTTCAAATGAATGGTAGTTTTTTCTAATAAATCTGCAAAGTCAGTGAGTTTATTGTGACTGATTTGTATAATATAGGTTTAGACAACATTCTTTGCAACTGTTCTGGTCAATAAAATTTAAATTTGCAGTAGTCTAGCGTGGTCTTCACTGTTTGACTTTGGTCAACAAAAGTTAAGTTCCAATAGTTTACAGGTCATTTGATTTGATTTGAAGTTTCAATTGTTGCCGCACTTTGAGTCTTTGACCAAAAAAGAAAGACAGGTTCTTCTTGAAAGATGCAGTCTTTCAAAAGGGGGAGAGAGAGAGAGAGAGAGTGGGTGCATTTAGCTGATTGAGAGATCCAACAAGAATGCCGCGTTTTTGTTGGTTGAGAGATCCAACTTGTTATGCAAGTTAGTCGGAGCTATTTACCATTTAGGCTGATTGTTTCTATACTGGGAGGTAAGCTGTCACTTTTCCCTGATTGTTTCCTACACCTTCCAACCACATGCCGTATGTAATATGTGTCCGACGACAATATTAGCATAGCTGAGATTCGTATGATTCTTAAGATTGTTGGGATGTTTCTCCCGTGCCACCTTTATTGAATTCCCGTCACAGCTGTTTAGTTGTATCATGGATTCACGATGCTTGTCTATGAAGAAAGAGAACATGGTGGAGCGGTAGCTTGGGCCCATTATCTGGTCTCTAGACAGGAGATTAGAGGATTGCCTCCGGCATGTTTCGTGTTTGGTCATGAGGGTCTAATTGGATCAGTACAAACTAATTAGAGTTGTTCCTTAAAAAGTAAATCAAGCTGACAATGTCAAGATGGTTTTTCTGGATATCCATAAATTCGAAACATGTCACATTTATGAGTTGTACTACCCGTTCTACATGCATGATGAAGTGTTTTCGGAATACAAGAGATTCCGTTTCACAGGACAATTTTGTTGTCTAATCCTGCATTCTTTGTTAATGTTTTGCAGATGCCTTCGTTGGTGTAAACCTCGGTACAGATCTTTCTGCCATGCCGAGCCCAACTCAGGTGGTGGCACTTCTTAAAGCTCAAAATATTCGACATATCAGACTCTATGATGCAGACAGAACCATGCTCCTCGCTCTTGCAAACACTGGCATCCAAGTGATGGTTTCGGTTCCTAATGACCAGCTCATTGGGATTGGCCAGTCCAATGCCACTGCTGCTAACTGGGTTGCTCGCAATGTGATAGCCCATGTCCCTGCCACCAACATCACTGCTATAGCTGTTGGATCGGAAGTCCTTAGTGCCCTCCCAAATGCTGCTCCAGTCCTAGTTTCTGCCCTGAAGTTCATTCACTCTGCACTTGTTGCGTCTAACCTTGACCGCCAAATTAGAGTCTCTACTCCACACTCTTCCTCCATTATTCTCGACTCCTTTCCACCATCTCAAGCCTTCTTCAATCGCTCATGGGACCCAGTCATGGTTCCCCTGCTCAAGTTCTTGCAGTCTACAGATTCATATCTCATGCTCAATGTCTATCCGTATTATGATTACGTGCAATCAAACGGTGTAATCCCCTTGGACTATGCACTTTTCCGCCCTCTCCCTCCAAACAAGGAAGCCGTGGATGCTAATACACTGCTGCATTATACTAATGTCTTCGAGGCTATTGTTGATGCAGCCTATTTTGCAATGTCCTATCTAAACATCACTAATATCCCTATTGTAGTGACCGAGTCAGGCTGGCCTTCAAAGGGTGGCTCAGCGGAGCCAGATGCCACACTTGACAATGCCAACACTTACAACAGTAACCTAATTAGGCACGTGCTTAACAACACGGGGACTCCCAAGCATCCTGGGATTGCTGTTAGCACTTATATTTATGAGCTTTACAATGAGGATTTGAGACCTGGGTCTGTCTCTGAAAAGAATTGGGGACTTTTTAATGCTGATGGAGTGCCAGTTTATACCTTGCACTTAACAGGTGCTGGAACTGTGTTGGCAAATGACACAACAAACCAAACCTTTTGTGTTGCGAGGGAAGGTGCCGATAAAAAGATGCTACAAGCAGCCTTGGATTGGGCTTGTGGACCAGGGAAAGTTGATTGCTCGCCTTTGCTGCAGGGTCAACCATGTTATGAACCAAATAATGTGCTCACACACGCAACATATGCTTTCAATGCATATTTTCAGCTGATGGCCAAGTCACCTGGAACTTGTGATTTCAAAGGGGTGGCTACCGTTACTACCACAGATCCAAGTATGGTATCATGACATGTTTATTTGCATCATATTTTCAATTATTACAGACTAGCTTAGGTGCTTTGATAAAACTTTAGTAGTGAAGACTGCATCAAGTGGAAATTTTTCTGTTTATGGCACTGGCATTGTGTTATATCCTGCACTTTTGTTGGTGAAAATCTTGCTTTGTTACTGATATATTTCATTGCCAATTCTTGCAGGTCACGGCACTTGTATATTTCCAGGAAGGTACAAGTTTAAACTCTCTCATCTTATTACGAATATATTTTAACTTCCAAGAGACTACCAGAAATAATCTAACCTTTTGTTCCTTTTTGGTGAATGTAGTGGCGGGAGAAATAGCACTTTCATCAATGGCACATCACTGGCTCCTTCTTCAAATTCCACAGCTTCTGGGTGCCCTTCACTATTTTTCTACAGTGGTGGTTCCTTCACAAGCTCTGTGATCATCGGTTTCTTAGTTCTGAGTGCAGTTCTCTTGTAGAACGCAGTGAATTTGTATTTCCTGCAAAACTCTTTTGATAGACGAATATTTTTTAGAGGCTCAGTTTGGCACCGGTTGGGAAACTTGCAGCAAGACCCAATTTTGTACCCTCCCAGGAGGAATTAGGGGGTGGCAAGCTTTGATTTGAACATATAGGCAGAAGCAACTAGTGGTTGAAATGTGAGTACTTGTGTTCATTGGAATTTGCAGAAACAAATTGGAAGGGGGATCATTTAGGATTATTTTGGTGTACCTATCTTGTTTGCGTAAATCTGGTTTTTGCTGACAGTTTTATTCTTTTGTTCCGGACTTTAATCCGTCCATTTATATTCAGAGTGATGAATTCAAGACTCTTAATGTAAATCTGCCTGTTTTTCTTCATATCCATCCGGCTTTTCTTTCGTAAGATTTTGCCAGTATTAACTTAAATGACGAACAGAAGTCATCCAATTGTTCAATAAACATGGCACAACCAAATTATTCAACAACGCTGTGCAAATCTACAATGAACTTTGCATAACAAACATCACAAACGAACCCGGTGGAACCAGGAGGACGGTATCCGTTGCCAGCGTGTTGCTTACAGTATGGCTTGTTGCAGAAGTCACATTTGGGAAGTTGCAGCCAGCAATCCGAACACAAGATGTCTGCACAAACAGCCTCTTCCATTTCTTCACAATTGTCGATGCACCCGCCGCACTCTTGGCACCTCGGAATGCAAAAGTTGCATCCTCTGCAATCAGTCATTGGCCTGTCTATCTTTGTCCTGCACGTCCTCCTTGGACAGTCGAAAACCATCCTAACCTCGTCGCATTTTGGGCAAACTTGGACGTCGATTGCAGCGTGACCGTTGTCGTGTCTGGAGGTTGGGCAGTCCTTGTACTCGTGAAACAGAAGAGGCCGTGATCCTCCTGTCTGCTTTTGCTGTGACCGGTTTATCTGGAGATACGACTCAAGCGTTTCGAGGTATTGTTTGTTCATGTTGTAGATGCCGTATATCATGACGCTCTTTAAGCCGTGATGATTTTCGGATAATGTTTTGGCAGCTCGAATGACTCCGTCGGGTGTTAAACCGGTGCATCCCGGTACGTAGAGCTGAATCAAAGATTCAAAACGAAACAAAATACAGGATAAGATGGTTAAAATCGTGTTCTTGAGCAAGGCAATTCCGACCATTCGTATCTTATCCGCCAAGAAAACCAATCGAAATTACCTATCCGGCGAGAACAATTCATATAAGATTACATCCATACCTTGTTGATAAGAGGATTCTGCTCAACGACCCCTTGAAGCCCCTCATCTGTAATATTGGCACAGTTCATCAAAGCCAGAGATCTCAACCTACCATTAGCCTTGGATGTGATTTTCATCAGAACCTCATCGGAAAGCCTCAAGTTCAACGGCGCTTTGACGATGATTTTTAGCCATGGTAAGACATCTGTGTTTACTGCATCTCTCAGTGTCCTACAAACTCCGCTAACAGCAAGAAGCTCGAACAGAGGAAGGTAAGCTGAAACAAGGAACAACGCCTCGTGCGGTGGCCCTGCTTGTTCATCTCCCGAACTGTCAGTAGCTTCATGTTCTTGGTGTTCCACCGTAGACTCTGAAATCTCCATGTTTCTCGGGTTTAAGCGACGGTAGTGAATTGTCCAGAAATGAAGCAGAACGTATCAAATTTCTTGGAGAGAGAGAAGGAGATTACAAATTGGGTTTTGAGATTACGACTGATATGAGCAGTTTTTGTCAAGTTGTAATAAGTCGGTAGAAAGAAAATATCTCTCCACGCAAATGAACACTGTCAAATGCTAATGTAATTAAAATTTTAACAGCATTCTGTGCTACTCCAGATAACATGACATGAATTTACAACGTTTTCACTGCAACAAATGTTTTATGCAACGGAACACGAGTGTTTGCAACTCATCAGAAGAAAATATAACTCGTTTGTGCTTTTAGTACAGAAGCGTGAAACGCAGCATGAACAAGAGGGAACACGAACGTTGATAATTATTGCGAGTCTTGCGATTTTACATGCTAGCTGACAATGGAAAATGTCACACGTACAAGCAAGGACACGTCTAAAATTGGCGGACATTGTCAATGGTCCAAAGGCTCAACGGCTGTTTTGAAAAGAAGAACGTAAACCTTGTCGATAGAAAAATACAAGAAGCCCCCAGTTGAATGCGTCACGTATGAACCAAAGCTAGTTCCCACAATGCAGTGCCAAGCTGGACCGTATGATGAATCGAAATCCTGTCAAGTGATACAAAAACATTGTCAACTCTCTATATGAACTCAAACTAGTTCCCACAATTTCAATGTTTCCTTGTATATTTCAGTACACATCGTTACAATCTCACTGCATCCCAAGTTATAGCATAGAAACATAAAATCTAGTGTCACAACATACTAGTCTTGTGATCTCTCAGATTCTCAATCAGTGACGTTCAATGGTGCTTCTTGCACAGCATATTCAGTTACCAATATTCGACTGAAAATCGACTGTGAACTTCGAATTTATCAAGAGCATGTGTTTGTCAGAAACCCGTCTCTTTCATGCAAGAAATTGTTCTTGCAGAAGAACAGAGAAAAATAATTGAGGTGTCAATGAAGCAGAACCTGACTGCTGAGACTTACAATACTGAATTTGAGTCTAGGACACAAAAATGCCTGCTTGTTTTGATAATCAATCAAAGAAACTCAAAGCAAGTCCCTTTCGGGTCTATTTGGGATTGCTTCAAATAGTTATAAGGCGTTTTTTGGACAATCAAAAGTGCTTTTGATTGCATTTGATAAAATAGCTCAAAGTGTTTTTGGGACATAAAAGAACCTTCTGGAGAAACACTTGTTAGTTGCTTCCTCATGTCATGGAGCACTTCCAAGTGTTTTTTTTTTCTCTTTCCAGAAGCGCTTGAATTTTCAATAAACATTTCAATGTGTTTCAAATCAAAACCACTTATACCAAAAGCGCTTCCCACAAAAGCAATCCCAAACGATTGCCACATTTCTCTTCTTTCCTTTGGTTTTTGACCCTAGGGTGAAAATATAACTTCAGAATACCCACTACTCAAAACACTTCAACAACAACTCAATCAACATTGCACGCATGCGACTACAAACCAAAAGGATCAAAACCCAGTAAGAGAATATCTGATTAAGGCAAAAGATTTGACCTTTTTAAGTGCGAGAGCGAGGCGTTTGCTGTCGAGCTTCCCGGGCATGGCGTCGAGGTGATCCCGCGCAGCGCGAAAGGCGCGGTTTTGCAGAGGGATGGGCATATCCGATGCCCTGACTCGAACATTGAGGCGGTCACAGTGATCTTGTTCCTCCACAGCTTTCTTCTTCTGTATCAAACTGCTGAGAAACTTGCTCCGCCTCTCCAGCTCCAGCTCTGCTCCCTCCATTTCTCTCTTGGCCGATGATAACTTCACTCACTCGCATCAGTCAAAAAGCAGCATTCCATAAAAAGTACCCAACGAAAGAAAAGGATGAAAAAAAAAAGGAGAGAAGGAGGAGGGAACAGAGGTCTCGATTGCAATGTTATTTGGGTTATATATTTGCTTTTGTTTGTCTTTTGATGCCTTGTTTGCGTATGGGCGAGGGCGTAGGGCTAGGCCGGGCGCAGGAGGAGACAGCTTTTCCGTACTTCGATTTGTAGAAAGCTGCAGGCCAAAACAAACGGTATTGCCTAATGCCAAATAACCTTTTGTTTGAGCTTTTTGAGGTAAAATTGTCCACAAGGAATTGATTAAGGACGTTTACTCTATATACTCGAGTTCATTTTTAAACATTTTTCTCTTGTTGTCGAGAGTATTATTGAGAGAGTATTTACAAATGTACTTGTATATGCAAACGTGAGCGTAATTACATTGAATAGAACGAATATTATATGTATTCAAAATTAAATGTGCTCTGCATTCAAAGTCGAATTCCTCAATTACAAAGACTAAGCTCATGAACTTATTATCTTAGATCGGACTAAGTTGATAGGATCCCCTTTTTAACGTCTCCATGTCCCTCATGTGTGGCGACTTGGGGGTGTAAAAAAGGAAAGAGAGGGATGGGGTTTCTCTTGCTTTTGGCATAAAGGGAGGCCGCACGACGGGCTGTTAGCTCAATGCCCCGGCTCTCCTGTCATCAGGTCACCAACTTCCTTGACCTTTCGGGGCTAGGTAGGCATTAGCCCCATACATGGCCTTATGACTTTGCGGAAACTTGTGTTTTTGATAAAGAGTCGTCTGGGCCTTGTCATTACAACCCTCTTTTTAAGGGGGACACCTCTTCTCCCAAAATTACGGAGCTATTTTGCTGAGTTCTTTAGAAAGGGTTGTCTCGCGCCCCTTATTTTCTACCTACTCACCTGTGTCGCTTTCGTGTACCATATATTTCAATGGTTATTAGTGATCGAGTATTTCGAAAGCACAGAAGTATTTTTCACTCCAAAGGTATATGAAGGGCCTCAACCTTTTCAACAAAGACACGGCAATTGCGGGAAAAAAAAAGGAGGAAACGATGATTGGGTCAGTGAGTGGGTCCATCTCATAAATTTCTTTAGATTTTTTTAGCGTTGACTTGACTCGTATAATTCAAAATGAATGCGTGTATCTCATTAATGGTTGCATGAATTTCACTTAAGTTTGTAGGGACGTCTTTCGTATTCTATTTTAAAACTTTAATTATTTTTAAACCTATTTATCAAATATCTTTTAGAACATTTTTCTTTTTTAAATCTCAAATTTTTAAAAACTTGCTTGATTAAATAGTTGATTTTTTTTTTATATATATAATTGAATTCATAACTTGTGAGCACGAAATTGGAGGGGAGAGAGAAGAGCAACAGAAATTAGAAGAGAGAGATTAGTAGAAATTGATGAGGAGAGAGAAGATTCATTGATGAGGAGAGAGAAGATTCGGAGAGCGGAATAAATTAGAGATCAATAGAGGTTTGTTAAGTTAAAAGAAATCAAAAACTCATTTTGGTGTTTTTAACAAATTGCCTATGTCTTAATTTTGAGTTCAGTTTTTAAAACTAATCAACTCAAATTTGGTTAAAAAAAAACGAAGCAACTTTATGTGCCTTTGCATCAACACGATCTACGAATGAACATATTTGTTCTTCATTTTTTCTATTTTTCCTCTTGAAATTTAAATTTATTAATTATTTTCTATTATACAATGCTCATTACATCAATAGTTCAACATTTCATGTATTGTTTGAATGTATAAACACTAAGTACAATATTTCATCGTGGCAACAAACTTTGAATAAACACTTAGTACAATACATAATATAATATAAGTGGGGTTTCTGAGTTTCATTTATCTCGACTCATGCCTTCCTCCACCACCGGAGGCACCGGATTCATTGCAACTCCTTCACGGTTCCTTTCCTCGATATTTCCATGCCATCCTAATTATTTTGTTATTCAACATTAATCCAACCGAGTCAATGCAAACAGAACAAAAAACATTAACCTAAAATATAGAATTCCATCTAACATTTATTCAATTGGAAAGCTCAGTTTGTGGCTAAAACAAAACATTAGAAAATTTAATGATATTCGTGCATATCCAAAGGGACAAAAATCAAAGAAATAAGATAAAAAATCTAAGGAGAGGTTTGTCCTATATATTAATCATATTGAGACGTGTCAGACTTATATTATGATCAGAAATTTTTATGTGTAACTGGTTGTATATCCTAATATTAATTAGTATTAATCATATCAGTGACACATCCTTTGACTGCATCTTTGAATTAAAAAAAATATAAATAAAGAAGCAATTACCAAGTTTCAAGTCAAAACCGCGAAACCGAAGCTCGCGGTACTCTTGACACAAGGCGCAGTGCTCACAGAAGCAATGAACCAAGCAGTCCCCACAAGGGCTCTCTTCCAAGCTGTATTGCTGTCTCATTTTGGAGCGGTAGAAGCAGGAATAGCAGCATGGACAAGCTGTCACACAAGTAATCAGTGTGTACAGCGCTCCACTGGCACCACAAGCTGCATATCATTTCGTTAACTAATTAGTTAACCCTCATTAATCAGTTAATAATACACCTTAATCCCATTTAGAAAGAAGGAAAAGGAAAGGAAGAAGCTTAATTAGTTAATTACATGTTGAACCCTTATCCACAATCTCTGCAATTTGGCCAAAGGTGATGCATGGACACCAAAGTGTTATGCAACCTGCATGTAGACATATACAATAACATGAATCATTAATTCACGAGTAAATGATCCAATATTTCATCCAAATCAAACCCCATTATAAATCACTTTAACAGATTAATCACACACACACACACATATATATATATTTATATATAGTAGTAGGATACACACATATATATTTATATATATACTTACAGTTTCTGAAATCGGAGAAGCAGTCGCAGAGGCCGGTGGACCAAGGGATGAGAGCACGAGGGCGGGGACGGGATGGGGGGTGGGTCATGTGGGAGTGGCCACTGTGGGAGCTCATGTCTTCGTTAGAAGTAGTAAAATAAGGTTCGGTGCTGGAGCTGACCGGGATACCTGTCGGCGCCAGCGGAGCATCTTGGTGGTGATGGTGGTGGTGCTGGGGGTCGGACGAGGAGTACTTCTCGTATCCCCTTGGGTGTGACGAGTACATGATGGCCGAAGATAGGTGGGGAACAATGAGGAGGTTGAGATAATATGATCTCAGACAGATTGAGAGAGAAGACTTGGACAAGCTTTGATTTATTCTACAACCGAAGAACGGTCGAACGCCGCGTTGACTTGACTTCAAGTCTCCTCCGTCTGCGAGTCTTCCTGTATGCTTCCTTCCTTACAGGGCTGGGCTAAAGTTTTTTAAGGCCCATGGAAAAGCCTGTGAAAAGGGCCCTTTTATATGATCAATTTTTTTCGTGGATTGGTTTTTGAACATCTATTTTCACTTTTTGCATAGCTTTTTTTATTTTATTTTTTATTAAATTTATTCAAACTAATAATTAAAAAAAGATGGATCTGCAAGAGGTGGAAAGTGCTTTTAAAAATTACTAGTAGGCGTATTCGTGTATTGCTGCGGGATTTTGAATTTTGTTCAAGAAGTAGAAAATCTTGATAATATGTGGCAAAAAGTCTTAAAACTTTGTTCAAGTTAACAAAATTGGGAACATTGGAATGCCAAACTCAAGAAGTGTTATTTACATCCATTTATTACATAGACACCCAAATTGGTAACTCCGATGATGATTTTGTTCCTTTTATGTCCAAACTGTATTTAAAAAAAAAAACTAAAAATTTGTTCTTTTATAGACACTCAAATCCACAAAGCCATCGAACATCAATATAATAACCGAACTCAAATAGAAAGAAATAAAAAAATTAGCGACACAATAGTGACTTTATTATAATATTAAGAACTTATACAAACATTAAAAATAATATTTTAATAAACGAAGGTCCACAATCTAAAGAGACTTCAATGAAACATAAAAGACCAACTTGGTTGAATACGATGACAAAACAAGCCCACAATAAACAAATGAACACAAAAAGTCTTCAAAACATTCGTACCGAAACTCAACAGACAGAGACAACCCTTGACTTCTCAAACTCAAAAGAACCTTACTCTTGATGAAAAATTCAGACGAGAACGAACTCTTTTATTCAAAGAGACAGCAAACAAAAAACGAAAACGAATTCTTTTATTCCAGATGGTATGATTTCCATGCCACCATCAAGCCAACAGCATTATTATTTGTGATCAGACTGACGATTCATGCCACCCTGCATAGCTGGTGCTGTCACCACTCCACGATTCTGGGACGCATCTCCTAGCCACCCTAACATTCATTGAAATTAATTAATTAATTAGGAATGATCTTCAAATAATACTTTTTAAAGATAATTACACGTGTATAACACATATCGGTTGATCTAACTAGAATGGATAAGGAGGTGCAACGAGACGTTCTATCTAAGTAATTATATTGGAGGGAGGGAACAGCGCATGCACGTACCACTGGCAACATCGAAACCACGTTCCTGGAGCTCACGGTATTCTTGGCACAGGGCACAGGGGTTGCAGAAGAAATGAACGCAGCAATCGTTGCAAGGTTTTTCCTCCAACGTGTACTGCTCCCTCAGTTCGGTTCGAAAGCCGCGAGTAATGCAGAAACCGCAAGAAATGCCGAATGCGAAGTTAGTAACGAAATTAATTGCTGCATATGAACATCCATGCCAAAAACAACCTGCATACGCATGCACATTTTGTTCACTTCCAATTTCAACAATCACTTAATTTAGGGCACGTCTTGGGCTGTTTCCGTATGAAGCGCTCATGTTAAGAGTTATAAGTACGTGCTTCTATTATGAAAATATTGAAAATTTTATAATTATCCAAGTTTAGATATCGAGTTACTGGGTTCTTTTAAAAGAAACATTACTGGTTTCTCCTTTTGAGACAATCTCTGCAACACGCCCAGCAACAACGCAAGGACACCAAAATCCCAAGCAGCCTGCAGTCCAAATTACGTTATATATAGGTTTAGGGTTTGTATGATCAAATCATCAATCGGTATACATTCATATACCAAACAAGTAAACATGGTATAATTGATTTAGCTAGCTAGACGGGAAGGGAAGAGAATAGAAGCTGCGCTTACAGACACTGCAATCACTGAAGCAGTCAAGCAGGCCAGTGCTCCATCCACCCGACATCTTTTTCTGCAAACGGTTGGGGCATATACATACACACATGCATACATATATATATAGATGCATATGCGATCGATGTTATTGGAATCTGCACTGGACTGCACTATGCATGTTTGACTTTTCGTGCAAAATTATTGAGGGGTGTGATATCCACACATTCCATTTTACTTCTCACACACATTCTTAATTTTCGGCCGTCGAATCGGATGTCGGCTAGTACGTGCCTACCTTGGTGTTCGAGGAATGTCAGGGTCGGGCGTGTCACATTGGAATGACATACTCAAGGAGTGTTATTTACATCTATATATTACATAAGAAAAATTGGTAACTCCGATAATGATTTGTACCTTTTATGTCCAAATTGTATAAAAAACTAAAATTTGTTCATTTACAAACACCCAAATTCGTAACTTCGATAATGACTTCTCCTTGGTTTTCCACAAAGCCATCGAACATCAATATAATAACCGATTAGAAACAATAGAACCCACCACTTTAAGATACACGCACATACAAACATTAAAAATAATATTTGATAAAAGAGAGTCCATAATCTAAAGATACTTCAACAAAACATAAAAGGTCAACTCGATTGAATACCATGGCGAGACAAACCCACAAATTAGCAAATGAATACATAAAGTCTTCAAATTATTCACACCCAAACTCAACAAACTAAGATGACTCTCCAAAGCCAAATGAAGTTTATTCAAGAGACGGCAAACAAAAATCGAAAGCGTATTCTTTTATACCGGATGGTATGAAGCATCAAGCCAAAACCATTACTATTTGTGATCAGTCTGACGATTCATGTCACCCTGCACAGCTGGTGCTGTCACCACTCCAGGATTCTTTGACGCATTTCGTTCCCAGCCTAACATTCATTGAAATTAACTAGTTAATTAGGAATGATCTTGAATTAATACTTTTTAAAGATAATTACACGTGTATAACGCGTATTGGTTGATCTAACATTCTAGCTAGGGTGGATAAGGAGGTGCACCGAGACGGTGAATCTAAGTAATTTTATTGGAGGGAGGGAACAACGAATGTGCGTACCAATGGCAACATTGAAACCACGGTTCTCGAGCTCACGATATTCTTGGCACAAGGCACAGGAGTGGCAGAAGAAATGAACGTAGCAATCGTTGCAAGGTTTTTCCTCCAACATGTACTGCTCCCTCAGTTTGGTTCGAAAGCCGCAAGTAATGCAGAAACCGCAAGGAATGCCGAATGCGAATGCAAGAGTATGTGAATGACAAGATGCAATGCATACAACCTGCATAGAAACATCCTGCTGCAACCTGCATACGCATGCACACTTTTGGAGTTCACTTCCAATTTCAACATCATCGTCAAATTTTAATCACTTAATTTAGGGCATGTTTTGGGCTGTTTACGTATGAAACGCTCATGTTCGAGTTAAGTACGTGCTTCTATTACGAAAATACTGAAAAATTTATTATATCCAAGTGTTTCTTATAAAATCCAAGTGCTTCATGGAAAGGAATTTGAATGTGCTATCGAGAAAGTGACTAGTTAATAGGTGCTTCTCGAGAAAGTCTTTTTAAATTTTTATGTTAAAGTTATTCAAAACAACTTTCGATTGACTAAGGCAGAAAGCAAAGAAGCAGTTCAAAACCGGCCCTCAATCAAGTTTACATATCGAGTTACTGGGTTCTTAAAAGAAACGTTACTGGTATGTCCTTTGGAAACAATCTCTGCAACACGCCCGGCAACAACGCAAGGACACCAAAATCCCAAGCAGCCTGCAGTCCAAATTACGTTATATATAGGTTTAGGGTTTGTATGATCAAATCATCAATCGGTATATATTCATATACCAAATAAGTAAACATGCATGCTATAATTGATTTAGTTAGTTAGCCAGGAAGTGAAGAGAATAGAAGCTGCGCGTACAGACTTCGCAGTCACTGAAGCAGTCAAGCAGGCCAGTGGTCCATCCACCCGACATCGGGCATATACATACACACACCATGCATATATATATATATATATATATATATATATATATATGCGGTCGATGTTAATGGAATCTGCACTAGACCGCACTATGCATGTTTTGGTTTGACGTGCAGAATTGCCATGATCATGGATAGCAACGGCAGATGAAGGAGCATTTATACGATGAAGTAGGAGTAAATACATGTTCACGACCAAAAAAAAAACGAGACAATGTTGATTGATGCTTAGAATGTTCATTTTCTAAGTTACTCTTTGAACTTAATCACGCACAAAACCAACTAAATAAAGACATTTAATTGTTCAATTAAAATTGTCATAATTTGAATTGTTAACTGAAAAATGTAGTTTGCCTCTTCATTAAAGAATAATCAGATGAGCAAAATATCTTCATTTTAGCTTCTTCTTTTTTTGTAAAAATAATTTTTAACGTTCCTATTTACTCCATAATTTATACAAAAATAGAATTATGGGACTGAGATCTTGAGTGAAGACGGATAATTAACATTTTAGTAAGCACTCTAGAAGATGGATTATTACATACAAACAGAGCAAGAGGCTCTCATGAGTGGGTTTGCATCATTCAACTTTGTGTTATTATTCTGGTTTAGATTATTACGTACAAACAAAGCAAGAGGCTCTCATGAGTGGGCCGCTTTGCATCATTCTTGTATTATTACTCAGACAAGGATTGTCTGCCCTCTTTGTTTTCGTGTCCTCCTATTTTGTGTGGTCACGGTTAAGCCACGTTAACATTTTATATTGTTTTTTTATAGAGATAATAAGATAAAAATAAATAATAATATAAAATATTGACGTGGTTTAACCGTAACCATACAAACATGAGAATACGGGAACCAGGAGGGCAGACAATCTTTATTACTCTGTTTCACGGCTGTCACTTCAGACCCACAATGTGGGAAACGAGGAGGGGTTATGCGGTTCTTATGCACCTTTTCACTACCTACTTTTTCATTCTGTTGTTAAGTTTACCCGCTTGTGCAACAAATCACGTCGAGTTTTATAAGGAACTATTACTAATTTTCTCATCACAAATAAAAAAAATTGTATGGCTTCAATGCCATGTATTGTACCCCACTTATGCAACAAATCACGTCATGTTGTAAAATCGACGGTAGGTGCAATGAAATAAATGAAACAAGACACAAAATTTACGAAGTTCTTCTATAGTCAGTGTGACTGGAGTACGTCATCGAGACAGCAGTGGTGCTTTCATTATAATTTGGAATAATTGGAGTATAAAGATAACTCTCTTTAATCTCCCCTTCATTTTCCTCTTCTTCCTCTCTCTCTCTCTCTTCTCTTTTTCGTGAGTCACTCACCTCTTCTTCTCTTCTTCAAATATACAAACAAAAGAAAACACTATTCACTTTACAAATTTTCCACAAATGAAATAGTGAACATATAGTCATTGTGTGGGCCATCCACATATTATTCACAACACTCTCCCTTGGATGGCCACAAGTCTTCTATTGACTTGTTAAAATCTTGATCTGTTTGGATGCTCCCCCTAATTTCAAATCATTTAGGCAGATCGTTGATCATTCTGCTTCAGTCTCTTAGTAAGAAGAGTTGGACATCAAAATGCATTCTCGGAGATGAGGAAGAGTTGGACATTTTTGCAGGTCTGCCTTGTTATGGAGAACGGAGGTCGACATATATAGAGATTTCCCAATAACAGGTAGTGGTGTTGTGCCTTTACTCTTGTTAGCAACTGTGGTGTAATTAGAACAGTAAGACTTACGCGTTTTCAACTTTGTCAGAGATCTTTGACAAAGTTGCACGCGATATCCAAAAAAGCTAAGATTGCGTCTGAAAAATGTCAACGAACTTTATTCAGGAAAATCTGGCTTTTGAAATTTGGAGAGCGGTGCCTCTTCGATCTCTGAACAAGTGACTATGTTGCCTATTCTTTTATATAGACATCAATTGTGTTGTGTTACTCATACGAAGTTGTTGTGCCTGTAGAAATTTCTCCATCTTGCACTTCCGAAAATTTTCATTTTTCTGAAATTTTGACTTACCCATCTAACATTTGCTTAGATTTGAGTCTTAGAAGTGATACAGACGAGCAGCGTCAGGATAACATATGGCGCCCGTCCTTCTTATCTTCTAATGGTTCTCTTACGGTTGGGGACTCTGTGATGAAGAATAACATAACCGCTATTATGGTAGTTAGGAATCTTCTCACTCCTTTCAAAAACGGTCTGATGATCAAAACTCAAACTCACTCAGCTTCCAATATTCCAACGCCTACTTGCTCAAACTCGCCAAGTTGAATCATTGATGGCTGAGGTGTCAAGTCTTAAACAAGAAATCAGAGGGCTCAAGCACGAGAATAGAGTGTTACATGTGCTTGTTAATAAGTACTTGACGAGCATGAAAAGAAAGCTCAACCAACTGCAGAAATCCGAAAGTCGGATTCAAAGGATCACCAGAGGTTCGTTGCTAGATTCCGAAAGCAACCGATGCCTTCCCCTTCTGGTGTTTTGCCAAGTACTAGGGTGCCACATGATCAATCTCCAGTGCCTCCCCCTTCTGGGGTACTTCCGAGTACTGAGGCTTCACATGAGCAACCTTTGTGAAGGCTCATTCCTGTTTATTTGTTTTAACTCATGTGTATGTACATATCTGTAATTTCTTGGAAATATTAATAGATAAGCTTTATTTCATTCAATGTATTGTGCCAAATATAATAAAGCATATACTTCACTAAGATGTGGTACTTCTGGACCAAATATTAATTTATCTTTACCCTCACGAAGATAAATTATTATTCTTAGTGTCTACATCATTTGAGTATTCAACTCATAATCTTCAATCCATATGGTTCTTTTAATATGATAAACATCATGGATATGATTCGTATTGGTAGATTGTTCGATCTGCAGCTCGAGACAATAATTCACTCAACATTTTATAATCTTTCTTAACTCTTCAGGAGTCTCAGTTTAATATCATCAACTCTTTAGGAGTTCTAATTTAATGTCATTGACTCTTGCAAGAG